CTCTTGAATTCTGTAAATGGGTCGAAAGCCTCATGCTGATAAGGTCAGAGACCATTGTTTGGTCTCTAAGCAAAATCTTTGGAAAATGTGAATGAAGTAGAAGAGATAGAAGCATATGTAGGGGCAGGGTGAGAAAGTAGGTCATGAAAGATGGATCTATGGAATGAACATACCTTTTGGAATACATGTAGAACCTGAGGGTGTAAGTATGATATATTCTGAACTCAGATCGCAGATGAGGCCTGACATACATCCAGATTTCCCTTATACACCTCATAACCTATGAAGCTACAACACCAACAGGTATGTGCTTCAGTACCTCAGGCATTTTGAGCTCTTGCCAACTCTGCTCTGAATAGACTTAAACTCTATAATTGCCACATATTTGCTAGAAGTATTGAGATGGTTTGAAGCTGAAGTCTTTGGTTTAGGGCTTCATTTCTCCTGTTTATGGTCCTTTGTAATTCAGAGAGCAGCAGCTGCAGCTCTAGAACAACCATCTTGTAGTTTCTTGGTTTGGTTTTGGAGAATACAGTTTGACATACAAAAGCAATGCTAGAGCATGAAATGCAGTATAGGAGAAGTCATTGCAAAATCACTTTTCTAATATTGGCTTGGCTTTGCTGCTGGTTTGGTTTTGGGTTTTCTAAATAAAAACTTCTTCCTGGTGTTGAGAAGCATGCTCCATCAGTGGGCTCACCATGTAAAAAGGACTGACTAAATCGTGTATAACAAACTCATTTAATCTGCCAGTGAGGACTGAGATATGGACTTACTGTTAAAAACATACATACGTTTTAGGAAGTTTAGTTCCTACAGGTAGCAGAGTTCATCAGATGCTGCATGGAATGCTGTGCAGATCTGGGTGGCAGATCCTGAGTTTAGCCACAGGGTTTGTGGATTCCTCAGGCAAAGCCATCAGCTCTTACAGACTTCCCAAATATTGCAGCTAGAAGAGAAAATGAGCCAATGTTTTCTCAGAGAAAGACTCCTCATGTCTATGTGACAGCTCTGGATTTCCTTGTTTTCCACCTCCTCTGCCTGATTAACTTTTCATTTAAAGAAGAAGAAAGCTGAATACCAGGGAAAATCAATTTTGTGGTCCATGAGTAGGCTTAAAATGTAAGAACTACATAAAGGGACAAAGGATTTCTCTTCTGATGTAGATCAGCTGGGGATTTCTTTAACAAGCCTGGTCTCAGCGAGCCACTGCCCTTTGGCCCTGTTACAGCATTCTATTGCCTTACATCTTCTGGTCACTACTTTACACAAGTAAAAGTAGTACCATATCTTCCCACATGTAGACTTCAGATCACCTTCCCATCTTTTAGAGAGACTAGTTTTGAAAAGAAAGCCTGCAGTTACTCAGGCAAATTCAGAACAAGAGGGAGGGAAAAAATAGGAGTGGCTGTAGCAAGCAGGCATGGGGGAGTACCGTCAGACAGGAGACAGGCAAATTCAACTATGTGACAGACATAAGCCTGCCACTGATGTCAAGCACAGAGGTTAATGAAATAATGACAGGGGAGGACCTTTGCTGGTAGAGGTTTGTGAGTGAAGCATCTAGTACCAGCTCTCTCCTAGCTCAGGGCACTGGTGCTCTGCTGTCCTGGGGTCCCTTGTGTAAGGCATAGTCATGATCCCCAGACTCTGCTTGGGTTCCTCTCCCCCCAGACCCTGGGGTGGCAAGAGAGCCAGCAATGCCTGGTGCTCAGTACAAGTCTGTACCTCCATCGTCCAAGCCACTCTATAAATGAAAACCAAGAGCAAAATGCCTGTAACAGGGCATTTTTATTTGCTTTGGCACTAGCGGTAGTGGCACTCAAATTTTTCTCTTAGAAACAGGTATGCATGGTCTTTATAATCAATCCTGCCCCATATGCATCAGTTCTGAGGAATTAATATGGTAGCAGGAGGTTCAGTGGAAGCAGTCTAACTTTTCAAACCTGAGTCTATCCGCAGGCAAATTCATGGAGGTTGGGGCCCCACACCCTAACTGTGCAATAAGCCAGCCTAGAAGGGCCTATCACAGGCTTTGACTGAGGTTTACCTCACAGCTGAGCACTTTCACCCTGACAGGTAAAATGGTCTTGAAGGAAGAAAACAATAAGTGTAGACTTCCACAGGAAGGGATGCCCAGACCTTTATGCAAAAACTACAGCTTATTTTTTTTCCTTTTTAGAAGTACCTTCAAGTCAGAACAACAAAGTTGTTCCATGCACTGATTCAGACTTTAAATGCTCTCCTGATGATGACTGCATTGCCACAACTGACCCTACTATATAAAGGGGCTTTATTTAATGTGGCCCTCAATAAATGATATACTGTGTCCTCAAATGACGGAACTGTGTAACCAGCCTTTTGTTAGCTAACCTAATTTTTCATCTAAAGACAGTAGTGTAGTAAATGTCACATTTGTTAAGTTGGTGAGATGCTCTTCTATTTTATATAAAACCTGTGTTTTGGGGGAATTAGATGCGACAATCCAGCTGTAGTTCATGACCAAGAAAATGATATATTATGTAAACCATTATCCAAACAAATAGGCAAACCAAATAAACCTACTTCTTTCTAAATGAGTAAGCAAACTGCAGAAAGAAGGTAGCAGTGATGACAGGGTAAAGGTACCAGAAGGAAAGATGCCTGCTATATAATACCTTGTCAACTGAAGAAGGAGACCTCTGAGTGACTGTATTTGAGCTACAAGAATTGGATATACATGTTTGCACACATATATGAGGAGTAATGTGAACAGTGGTGAGGTCCACTTACTTTGATGTCTACTGGAACCCCGAGTAAAAAGCCAAACAAACAAGAGATGCAAATCTACATTTTTATACTCCAAAATAACCTGTTACTATAGTATTTGATCCTCTTGTGGTATAATCCCAGCTCTAATTACATAGGAACAGCATTTGTGGTAGCGTCAGGACAAATGTTACCTGCATTAGGTCTTGAACAAACATGAATTGAGAAATGTAGGTGTTCTCCAACCTACCACGTCCACATAACACTACTTAATTGATTTTATTGGGTGCTATGGGCACCCAACTATTCGGAAAACTTGTGTTTTGAATGCCCTCTAGTGGCTTCTGCCACCTGCAAGAAAACTCGCATGCTTCCTTGCTTAGGAAACCTTCTTGGACCCAGGGGGCTATGGAGCAGGGCTGCAAAGGCAGGGAGGGTTGGCAAGAAGACATGCCAGGGGAGCCAGCTCGCTGAAGGCATGGACATGGTCCTGGGCTCCGTTTTCTTTAAAGAATTTAGAGCTCACTTATAATGACTTTTAATAACTGGTTTCATGCCTGTAGTCATTAACATTTTTGAATGTGATTTGTCATAGAGGAGCATAAACTCTCCAATTGTCTCCTGGAGAGAGGAGAGGTGGAAACACTATGGGCAGTGTTTGAATATGTACAGCTATGGTATTTACTCCTACACTCCCTTATGTCATTTGCCTCACAGCAATTCTCTTTGGATTTTGCATAGCTCCAATTTAAAGCTTATGGCAGAAAATTAGCATTCTGGAGGCAAGAAACATTCTCAGCAAAAATTGCTTCTCTCTGGGGTGTACTTGTATGCAAAGGCAGACCTAGCCTGGCTTTGTGCTGCAACCTGGGCATCGTTACTGCATAGAGGAACCAAGGTATCTGGGGGATTTGCTCTCAAAACCTGTACGTAGGCACAGTCCTCAAAGTTTTCCTGAGCTGGCCCCATCAGCTACTTCCAGCAGCAGATGCAAAATTAGTCTATGTGTTTTAATAATTAAGTGATAAAAGTCTGCAAGGTACCTCTAAGTGCAAGACCTTGTCTGCTTAAACAGTTTGTAAACAGACCTCTGTTTTTTCATCCGCTTTTTCATCCGACAGTATCTTAATATAGTAATCAGCAACAAGCAGGAGGGTATGTTAACATGTTCCATGTGTTAGCATTGCTACAGGCAAGAAAATACTTGAACTTTGAGAAAAGAAGCAAACCAAAACTATAGAGTAAGATCAAAGTGAAATATCTGATGATTTTCTTTTACAAAGTTTCCTTCTTTTGCTCCTCATATTTTCTGAGATGTTTCAGCTTTTGGAGGCCACCCTTAGCTATATTTTGGCAAAAGATGACATGGAAACATGGATACAAGCATTAAAGCAATTTCAAAAAGGAGATAATGTAGGACCAGATCTGAGGACAAAATTTCTTCTTCTATCAACATCAACTGTTCCACTGCACTTGTTTTGCATACGGGAGCTCCAGCTGTGAAGCCAGTGTTGCAGAAGCAGCTCTGCAGGTAAGGCATGTAAGGCATCTGCACTACGCACTGAAAAGGAGAGCTTCGTTGGGAGTTTGGATTTTTCTTCTTTCAGATACCGTGTGGCATCACAGATGAATGAAAATTTGAAGGACAGATCACTGTCTGGCTGTGCCTGCCCCTTAGCAAAGAGGATTAATCTGGCAAAGCAACTATTTTCACTAAAGCCAGTTGTTTACATGCGTCTGGACTGAGAGTGTAATCTTTCTGAGGCTGAGTCCGCAGGCAGAAGTGGTCACCAAATCAGTGGATCCCAAGTGAGTACCACACAGAAGTTACCAATGGTCCATCATGATTTTGCTGGAAAAAAATGAACCCGTAAAGTAGATGTTTTAATTATGTACAAAATCTTAAGGTAGAAGAAATTGGTATTACTTTTAGCTGGGATGCTGGATTTGCAATAGGAAATTAGAGTCCTTTTTTCTCTGCTGTCAGCTTGACACAAAGGCAAGTCATTCTACTTCTCTGCATCAGACAGGAGTCCTGTTCTAAAAATGCATATCGTTAAATTGTTTCATTCTGGAAAGGGCATGGAAATCTGCTGGGGGATGGGGAAGAAAGTATCTAAATGATAAATGATATCATGATCATATGGTACTACGAGGGCAGGACTTAGGCTGATGTCCTGGGAAATACAAAACATGCTATTGGTCACAGGTTTCTGATCAAAACGTTTTGATGGCTAAACATCACACAAGTACCTTCAAGTAAGCTGCAGCCTGAGAAGCAAATAACTGCAGTAAAATTCAAAGAAGAAATGCACTGCAGAATCCAGCAATCTGGTCAAACTATTCTAGAAGAGAATAAGGTAATAATCAATTAAGTAGGCTATTAATTACTTAGATTCATGTTTAACTATGGATATAAAAGAATGACTATGGAGCAGCAAATATAGCCTATGTGTGGGTCCTGAGCAGCATCCAGATCAGGTGACTCATATCATGCCATACCACATTAAGTCTTCAGATAAGTGTGGCTGCTGGTAGGAGCTAGTAGAGTATGTGAAGGGTGGTTCTGACTGAAAAACTGGGGCTGGGCATCCCTTGGTGGAGCATGTTAGAAATATCTTTTGTCCCTCAGATCTCTGATAGAGTGTACAGTGCAACTCTCAGGTATGTGAAAGCCTTGCTATGGTCTCTGAAGTATTAGAGTTGTTGGCTGTGCATTTCTGTTTGACCAGAAATCTGAGGCTTGAGGGGTGAATCCAAGAATTAGAGCTGCAGAAGTAGGAGTTATTCTGGCGCTTTACTAATGGAAACGACTGCTGGAAGCCTAGTACATGGCCTGGCTCTCTCTGTGGTTTCACCTGCATGTCTGCAGGCCTGCATCACCATGTTAGAGCTGATGGCCACAGTGAGCTCTGTTATACATAGAACTGATACAGTTACTCGGCACCCGCTAAGCTGAAAATTCAGGTTTTTCCTTAACAAAGCTGTGAGTTTGTGTGCTTTTGGGGGCTGCAAGAGACCTCTAAGATACAGGGACCATGTGGCTTTAATGTGTACTTTTTTTCTCCTTTCTTTAGCTGCGTCCTCTGTTTCATTCAGATGTAGATTAACATTGGGATCTTTTTTCTTTCCTTATTCCTGTCTGTTTGACTAATGAATGTTGTAAGGCAAAGCTGTTTCAGTCAACTATAACTTAAAGAAGAAAATAATTCCTCTAATATTCCATCATGTAGATAATCGCAAATTTGCATTGAATCTCACTATCTTCCTGCCTTATCATGGTGAGATTTTGATTTGCTTGTTAAAATCTAGTTTGCTGGTAACAGCCATCTGTCTAACTTTTACAGTTTCTTGTTCAGATATGCTCTATTTCAGGGTTCATTTTAATTGCAGTCTGAGGTTAGCAGATAATCATTGTTTGACTTGTCCTGGCACCTACACGAAGGCCCCACCTAGGACTGAAGTATGAGAGAAAATAATGTATAACCTGATTCCATTGCGATGGGCTCATGTGAAAATGGCACCACTGCTGTTTTGCAAGCTCTGGTGAAGCATGAGCTACATCAAGGGGGAAGTCAGACCTTTTGCTCTGTTTTTTGGAATGATACAGGGCAACAGCTCAAGAGAGAGAGATAGGGAGAGTATATATTATATTGCAAGGTCTCTTTCCTTTAATACTCACAAAGGTAAACCTATGTTCTCTTTTTTGGGTACCTAAAGTAATTTCAAAATTAAGAATAAATTGATAAATCAATTTGACTTCACATAATGTTTTGACTGCAAGTGTAGCTTGTGTCAGACAGGCCACCTACAGGCTCTATTTTCCAGGGTATTCTTCTTTAGTTATGGTGAATACCAGTTTTTCCTTTTCCAGGTTCAATACCTGTTGGTGTTACCTGGTGCACACAGACTGAGTTAATCTCAGAGTAACCCATCCTTCTACAAGGCTGCCTCTGTTTCTTGAAGCCTCAGTAGAGGATTCCCCTAGTTCTCAGAAAATCTGAAATATCTTTTCTTGTACCAAATCATGATAAAGAAAAAGTAGGTATACTGTACTGAAAACACTAGGCACTACAAACAGTATTTTTGTCTCTTTAATACAGTTTGATGTGTTACTTGTCTCTTATTCTTTCAGCTTTTAAAATACCCCTTGGTTGCGTTTCCAAGCTTTGTGCCTCACTTTGAGGACAAGACATTAAATTCTTTGTTTTGAAGTGCAATTAGCACTTTGAAAATAACACCTGACTCCAAGTTTTCATGAAAAATCAGTCCACAAGCATTAGGTACTTTCATAGGCTTATTATAGCCAGTGAGACTGGCTATACGTAACACAGTCAAAATATCTCAAAGTGCAGTATGGGCCCTTCAAATCTACCCACTTCTAACCTGTGCGTAGTTTTCATGCTTTTTGCATTGTGTGCTGGGTAGAAGAAAGAGAAACTTTAGGAAACATTATTGCTTCATGCAATATCTTAATACACATCTACCACGCACTGTGCATATCTAATGCACTATCTACCACCTAGCAGAGCCTGATATTGCACCATAACAGAATGTAACAGCAGTTTGGAAGAAGAAAAATAAGTTCTCATCTCAGGGTTAAGCCCAAGTTTCCCCCCTCTCTTTGTCAAGTAGATTCACTGAAGTCCTACTTGCCCTGCCAGGTCTGAGGGGTTCACTTTTTGTTGATTCATATTTGTGATTCCTGGACTGATCCATTCTGATATAATTTGCATTGTTTCTGGAAAGCTAAGGCTTTGTTTTCGTGAAGTTGTTTGCATTCCCTAGACCTCAACTAATTTCAGCAGAATAGCATGTGTATGGCTGCAAAGACACTGTATACAACTGGCAAAAAAAGAAAATAGGCTATGCAAACTAACCTTCATGCTGTTAAGTTTACTGTTTATGCTTACAGTTGCCCTGATAAACCATAGGTGTCAGTTGTTCCAGAATTAAGCATAATAATTTGCTCCAGGTAGCAACTTGAGGTAAAAGGCTTGGCAGGTGATTAGTTAATATTGCATAATCTGTTTCAGTAATTTACATATTGTCAGTAGCTGAAAAAGTGCCTGTTGCAAAGTAGCTGCTCTAAGGATGCTTAATCTCTTTGTAAAGTGCTTTTGAGATCTACTGATGAAAGTTAGGTGGTATTACTATTATTATTGTTGTTGTGTCATAAAATCTGGGCGTATACTACAAAATATTTTCTACAAGTACTCATTTGAATTTGGAGTTTAAACAGCCTGTTCTAGCCAACTTGTATTCCTTTCAAGCTTGCTTTCACAATTTCTTCCTGGCTGGGAAGCTTACAGGGTATACCTTTTATGTCTGAATTCTACAAGCATTTGCTTTGTAAGTCTGATAGTTGAGATGACTGTTGCACAACCAGAGAATAACAATGCCATGCAAAGTGTGACAGAGCAGGGGAAGATTGTACTGGTCTTTATACAGTGATGCATTAGCTAACAGACAGGACTGGATAAATCATCTGTCGAACTTTCCAACCAGAAACAAACCCAAGTGTCTCAACTAGGTTAATGACAGGTAAGTTCTGCTAGCCCAGTATTTGCTAGATTGTCCTGCTGATGGGCCATGCCTGTTGCTCTTCCTGGAGCAGAGTTCATAAAAGATACCTGAGGTCTTCATCGCACTTCATGCTTTGCATGAATGGGAAAGAGGATCCCTGTCTGCTCAGTGAAGCATTTCAAGTCCTGCACATGCAAACAGGGTAAAACATCACAATTAGCTACATATTTTAAGTCTTGCTCTTTAGGTAGCAAAGTATGTGTGGAGAAACCACAAGTGCTCTGCCAGATCCAAATAGCTGTGTTTACTGAATATACACAAAGGTAGGAGGCTAGAAACTTGCACTGATGAGCTGGTTGGTTTCTGGCACCTCCAGCAACAGAGAGCTGCAGAGGGCCTGACCAGCCATTTAAAGGAGTACGTGAGTAAGAATGTTATGTATGGGTTTTTAGTGGTGCTTTTGAAATCCATAGCAGTAGGCCACCAACATAATTTAGTCCTACTCTGAAGCTCTTTTGTGTTCCCAGAATGATACAAATCAGCCACCTTGCGTGCACCCAGAGGGTCTGACTTACAGTTTTCACTAGAAATGGTTGTTCTGCCCTTGTCAGGTAATGCCCTTTTGGACAATCTGTCTGCCTTCCTCTTGTCATTTTTATTATCCTGATATGAACAGCTCTCATTACAATATGTTGTCCCATGGCTCCAATACGAGCCCTGAGGATGAGTAAGCATTTTCCAGGGGGGTTTAATGGATGAAGGCATGGATGAGAGCATGAAAATGCACAGGGTACAAAACTGAATTTACATATGTTTGTAGTTGTTAGGTACATCTGGGCTAACTGCTTTGCTGGGGGGATGCACATGCTGACAGCACTCAGCCCCTTTGCTGTGCAAAGCATCCCAGCAAAGTAGCTAATAGCTGCCCAAGTGGGGATAAACTGATTTTGGGCTTACCAGCTTTCCACGCAGAGCAGCCCAGCAATCCTTGGTGCAGCCTGGCTGAAGGCTAGTGTGAGGAAGAGGCTGGAGCTGCATTGAGCTAATGAACAAAGCTTCCCTGGGGAAGGCTCTGGTTACCTACTATGACCTGTCTCCGATGATGGCTGGGGGGTGAAAACATTCACAGCCCATAGCCCATACCCCACCCTGAGAACTCCTCTGCCTCTTGGGCTCTTCCCTTTCTGTCCACAGAGTCTTTTGGAGCCCCCTGGTAATGAAAAGTCAAAGTCTATCACATAGAAATGAGAACAACAAAGCAAAGAGGATGCCTCAGTGCTTACTCTCCTCTCTGTGGTTCTTCTGGGCTGTGACTGACACATGAAGGAACCTCACTTCATTTCAGGGAACCAAGGGCTGTTGGGGGGGGGGGGGGGGGGATTTGCTAGTAAAGGATTAAAGATTTAATAATCATAAAGGAAAAAATTCTCTGTAATGAAGTATCAACACCAGTTGACTAGTTTTGGCTGTTTTGACAATTGCCAGGTGTTCTGCAGTAGCATGATGAGCACCTGCCTGTGTTGTTTCAGAAGCACCAAGGTGCCCTCCTCCCACTGAGCTGTCTCGTGCCTTGCAGATCTCCCCTGAGAAAGGTGGGAGCAGTTCATGTTTGGTATGTTGTCATGGAACCAGAAAGCCCTTTGGGCAGATAGTTGTCGTATTTGCCTGTTTGGACAAATGCAGGAGTGCTCCTCAGCAGTTTTTGCCAGGGAGCTGGCAGCAGTCTGGAGGCGTGCAAGACTGTGTGGCGATCTCGTGGGGCTCCCCCCTACCCATACTGTGCTCCCTGGTGCTGGGGATCAGCAGATCTGGAGCTAGGCCAGCTCCCCAAGAACCTGTGTGTGTCTGCTGTACCTTGGCCTGGTCTAATCTCTCCTGCACGAAGCAGCACACTCCCTCCAAGGTCAGTGTGTGTGCTGAGTCTTCCCCAAGAGTGGGCACAATGGCTTTGGTTTGTGGGCTCCTCAGCAGAGAGGGGTCATGGAGTGTGTAGTAGCACTGCTGGCTGGGCTTTAGAAGTGATTGTGGCTCAAGTTCAGGAGCATATTTGTCTCTGAATGTCCCTCATGTTTGGATAATTAATCTTTTAACACAAGTATCCTTTCTTTCTGGCACTGACTTCTGTCTACAAGACCCTA